GACACAAGCCATGGTATTTTCAGTTGCCTCATGCATGTGAGAGGTGGATTATGAATAAGGAGGACCGAAGAAGAGTCAATGCTCTTCAGATGTGGTGTTGGTAAAGAATACTGAAAGTACCGTGGACTGCTAAAAGAACTAACAAATCTATCCTGGAAGAAGTGCAGTTGGAATGCTCCTTGGAAGCGAGAATAGCCAGAGTCATCTCATGTGCTTGGTCATGTTGTCAGAAGGGACCAGTTCCTGGAGTAGGATGTTATGCTTGGTAAGGTGCGGGGTCAGTGAAAGAGGGGAAGGCCCTCGGTGAGATGGACTGACAGAGTGGCTGCAGCAAGGGGCTCAAGTATAGCAAGGATCATGGAGCTAACACAGTACTGGGCAGTGTTTGCTTCTGTTGTGCGTGGGGTGGGGGTAATAGTTGGAGATGCATTGACAGCACCTAACAACAACAACCAAGGATACAGAACTTCAGGCACTGTGGAATTTTACCTCTGAAGACTCCATATTCTTTTGAAATGGCATATTTAAAGATTTTAGGCTATATTCTTATCAGAGGTCCAGTATCATTGTAGTAAACATGAAAATTATGTTCATTGCTACTGCTTAGCTTCAAAATAATTATGAAAAACTTAAAGAATTTCTAAGCCATGAATAATTAATGAATGAAAAATGTTGTAGCACTTGATAATTTAGTTAAAAATTTAGTGTGACATTACGGCAATTCCTAAAAAAGTTGGAATTAGAAATACCATTTGACCCAGCCATTCCATTACTAGGTATATATCCTAAAGGAGTGAGAACCAGGACGGAACAGACATATGCACACCCATGTTCATCGCAGCACTATTTACAATAGCCAAAAGATGGAAACAATCAGGTGTCCATCAACTGAAGAATGGATAACCAAACTATGGTACATATACACAATCAAATACTATGCAACCCTAAAGAATAACGTAGAATCTGCAAAACACTGCATCACGTGGATGAATTGGAGCACATTAAGCTGAGTGAAATAAGTCACTCACAGAAGGACAAATACTGTACTAGTCCATTATTGTAAAAAGTCAAGGAAAGGTTTATATACGGAAGAAAATTTTCTTTGTTGGTTACCAGGGGTGGGAGGGGAGGGAACACTGTTAGATAGGTAGAGACAAGTATTGATTTGGGTGAATAGAATGGCGATGTACCAAATGTGAGTGATCAACATGGTGGCATTGAGGAAGAGGAAGACATAGAGAGGTACATGGGAATTACAGACAACAAAGATGAACCCTTTTGCACATATAGTATTGCATTGTCAGTGAAAGCAAACATGGGTATATGGGTGGATAGTTGGGTGGACAGGCTGAACTGTTACGTATGTCTGTGAAGCGAGGCGTGTACCCAAGACCATGTATAGGGTTGGCAGACAATGGTCCTATAAGTTTATGTGTATGATCTGAATTCCCAGGTGTATAGTAGAGCTGACAAGGGACAAGGTTGTAGTCACTTCTTGGGCACAGCCAGCTACCCAGTGGGACCAAGTAGTTGAACCTGTGGGCTCTAGACCATAGTTACAGGGGACATCAAGCTCAATTGGCATAACATACTACATAAAACATTGTTCCATCTCCTACTTTGGCAAGTAGCGGCTGGTATCTTAAAAGCTTGCAAGTAGTTATCTAGATGCAGCAACGGGTCTCTCCTCATCTAGAGCAAAAAAGAATGAAGAAAACCAAAGATTCATGCAAACAGTTTGTCCAAGGGACTGGAATATCACGTGATCCTTAGCCTATATGATTATGAAACCATAAGAACTAGATGGTGCTCGGGTACCAATGTCAACCACTCGGAGGGGGATCTGTGTAGGAGACCCTGGATAGAGAAGGAGAACAATGTGGAACAAAACTCAAAAGCATTTGGAAATAAAAAAAAGAGGGACCAGGTTTTCTGGTCTGATGGAGCCTGGTGGAACCCCTGAGACTATGGTTCCTAGCTGCCCTTCAGGTCTGGAATTGAACCCATACTTGTGACTTCCAGCCAAAGAAAAGACAGCCATAGGAGTTGAACATTTACCTGAGGTAGATACACTCCTTAGAGAGAACAATCATGGGAAAAAGAAGAGCTGTTTATGCACAGGAAGACAGCTCAGGGGGCAGGAGTACATGGAGGGATGGACACAGGGAAGAGGTGACTTTTGGGAGGAAGTGGGAAGGGAGCTGTTGTATTGTGGTGAATTGTGGTCAATGTCATGAGACAAAGTGTGTGTGAACTGCTGTATGGAAAGTGAATTTGCTCTCTGAATTTTCACCCAAATCACAATTTAAAAAAAAAAAAGAATTTGTACTTCTTCACTATACAATTTAGTGGCTTTTAAGTACCTTCACAATGTTACATGATCATCACTAGTATTTATATTCAGATCTTTTTATCATCCCAAGCAGAAACCGTATACCCATTAAACATAACTCGCTACTACCCTTTTTCTTCCCCCAGCCCCTAGTAACCTTTGTTCTGTCTGACCCTGAATTTGCCTCATATAAGTGGAATTATACATAATGTGCCCTTTTATGTCTGGCTTGTTTCTTCTATATTTTAGCATGTATTTATGCTTCATTCTTTTTACAGCTGAATAATAATTCCATCATATGGCTGTACCATATTTTGTTTATCAGTTACTGGACATTTTGGTTGTTTCCACCTTTTGGCTCTTATAAATGATCCTGCTGTGAACATTTGTGTACAGATGTTTGCTTCAACACCTGATTTGAATTTGTTTGGGTATATACCAGGAGTAGAAATGCTAGGTCATATGGTGATTCTATATTTAACTTTTTGAGGCTCCACCAAACTTTTCCAAAAACAACAACTGCACCATTTTACATTCCCACCAGCAGTGCTTGAGTATTCTAATTTCTCTACATCCCCACCAACACTTTATTTTTTGGGTTTTTGTGCTGTTTTCAATAGTCAGCCTAGTGGGTGTGAAGTATTGTTTTCATCATGGCTTTCTTTGGTTTGTATTATCCTAATGTTGTTGACCTGATACCAAAGTGCACTTGGCTGCTTACCAGAAGGTCAGCAGTAACCTACCAGATGATCTGTGTGAGAAGGATTTAACAGTCTGCTTCCATAAACATTACAACCTTAAAAACCGTACGGGGCAGTTCTATTCCTATAGGGTCCTGTAAGTCAGAATTGACTCTATGGCAACAAGTCTTAATGACATTGAGCATGAAAATGTGCTAGTTGGCCATTTGGGAGCTCTGGTAGCGTAGGCACTTGACTGCTAACCAGAAGGCTGGTGGTTCAAACCCACCAGCCACTTGGTTTATCTTCTTTTGGTTTTATCTTTCTTTTGATGATTCTACTTTCAGTGTCATATTTAAGAATTCATTGCCAAATGCAAGGTCAAAGATTTACCCTTATGTTTGTGTCTAAGAATTTTACAGTTTGAGCTCTTACCTATATGATTTTGAGCCATCTTCTGTTACTTTTTGTCTATGGTAGGAAGTCTGGCTTCATTCTTTTATATATGACTATCCAGTTGTCCCAGCCCCATTTGTGGAAGAGACTTTTCTTTCTCTATTGAATTATCTGAGAGCTCTGGTGGCGTAGTGCCTAAGGCATTTGACTGCTAACCACAAGGCTGGCAGTTCAAATCGACCAGTCGCTGCTCAGAAGGAAGGTTGGGCAATCTACTTCCGTAGTGATACTGCCTAGGAAACCCCAGGAGGGCACGCTATGAGTTGGACCCAACTCCACAGCAGTGGTTGCTTTTGCGTTTTTGTATTGAATGATCTTGGCTCCCTTTTGAAATTAATTGGCCATAGATGTGAAGATTTTTTTCTGGACTCTGATCGAATTAAAGATCTATCCTTATGTCAGTACTACTCTTTTTTTGTTGTTGTTGTTTTTTGTTTTTGTTTATTTATTACTGTAGTTCTGTAGTAAGTATTAAAATCAGGAACTAGGAGTTCTCTTTCTTTTTCTTTAACGAGATTGTTTTTGTCTCTTCAGGGTTCCTTGCAATTCCATATGAATTTTAGGATCAGGTTTCTTACTTCTGCAAAAATGGCATCAGGATTTTGATAACATTTTTAACATTTTAATAGTGATTTCCTCTGTTGTGGGCTCACGAGTGATTCCCCCTCCCCATTTATACTTTCCATGTTAGTTATAATGTGCTGAAAGTATTGTTTCTTTTATAATCAAAAGTAGGAGTTAGTGTTAAAGGGAAGATTTTTGAACTCTTTATTTCCCATTAATAAACGGAAGACAAAAGTTAGCGTTTGATGTCAGAATTCTACAACTATAGCCAAAGGCTGTTGCTTTTTGCCTTCTTAGCTTATCAGTGGATAGAGGTGCCATCCTACTCATCCAGAATCAAGTGCGTATAATATGGAATGCATTTGACTTTTTGTACAAGGGGTTAAACAAAAGGAACCATGTTCACATTACAAAGTGTCTCTTCTCTTGTTCTGGACTAATGAATTTCCTTCCCCTTTAACATTGGCAGAATAACTGCCAGAAGCACTGTTTGTGTATGTCTTTCTTCTCCTTCCTTGCCCTGGTTATCACTGTTTGAAAAAGCAGTTAATAATTTGAATTCTCCTCAGTTCCAGCTAACCCTGAATGGGACTCATAAACCAGCTCAAGACTAATTATTAGGTGTAGAATAGTAAAGGTTTGGGGGCAATAATATTCTGTAAACCATTCAGTGGTCCAGTTTTCTTCGTTAAGTTTATTGCCTATAAAAATTCTTGTTCAGGGCAAAGGCATTTTTGGCTGTTCCAAAGTCCAGACATCCTGTTAGAAGGCTACTCTGAACAGTTCATCAGATTCTGTCTGCCAACTCCGATTTGTAAAAGAACAACAGACCTTTCAGGTTTAGTTTTTGAGTTGTTCTGGGACATGGCTTATTTCTGTCATCTTTGTTAGGTTTTACTGTGTTGGATATACATAAGAATTTATAAATGTTTTTGTCAAATTAAGTTCTTTCCCACTTTCCCTTGCAGTGTAAGGCCAATACTAGTGGACACAGATCTTCATGCTCATTCTGCAAGGGTCCAAGGGAAGGTGAGTGATGGTGCGTTTTGTTTCTGCACTGGGTAAAACAGATTCCATGCTTTGAAAAGTTGCATCACTAACTTTATCTGGAATCTTTTAAAAATGCAGTGTTCTGAAAGTTTTTAAAAATGTGATGTGCAACTTCATGTGACTTGTTAGTGAATGATTTTGGATCTCAAGAGGCCAATCAGGGAAGAGATGGGGTTGTGGGTTTCTCATATTAGGGTGACTGAGCAGGCAGGTGACCAGAGGTCTTTAGAATCAGTATTTAGAATACATTTAAGGATGTTAGGCTGGAAAAGAGTCTGTATAGCATCAGCCTGTGTGGTGTCACTCCTTCCTGAACACACACACACACACACTTCTCTCACATTATTGGGAATCATTTGCTATCAGTATTGTTCTCTCATTTGCAGTCTACCTAAGTATTTCAAGGGGTTCAACAGGAAAATATTTGTTAAGGTAACATAAATACATAAACAAGAGGAAATAATTAGGTTATTTGGGGGAGTATATTATCGGGAATGAACCTACATGCTTTATTCCCCTGTAATAATTTCATTAACTTCATAATAATATTAATTTCTCAAGTACTTAATTTTAAAGTGCATTTCTCCCAAGAGCCTTTAGGTAGACAACGTTGAAAAGTTTATGAGAGGCATCCCTAACAGCAGTCTTGTAGCAATGGCTATTGTATGTCTGTTTCTGATATTATCCTTTAGTAAAGCTCAGGGCATGATTGAAAATACGCAGTTGAATGCAAGAATCGATAGCCTTCTGAGAGATTGGTTTGATCCACAGTTAACCTACAGAGAGTTTCTTAGCTGGGTTCTTAGGCTACAGTGGAGAGTCTACTCCAGTGATGGCTATGAGGCAGGTGATCTGAAAATCTTTGGAGGCTGAATCAAAACCAAACAATGTGCAGGAAGGTAAGTAAAAACCCAGATTTTTAGGTTGTGGAATTGCTTCAAAGTTGCATTTTTTTCCCTCAAGAAAGATTTCTTAATTTATCCTAACAAAGAATAGATGGTTTATGAAAACCGTTGAGCCACCATACCATTGAGGCAGCTAAGACAACTTCAACCCAGAAACAAAGCAGGTGGTCACTTGTAGCCTACCACTCTACATTGTTCCCATAGTGTGTCTCACCTGGAGTTATATGGCTTCCAACGAATCTTCCAGAATTTATTAATTGTAAAAATATACCCCTCTACCTCAAGTAGATACACTCCTTGGAGAGAACAATCAGGGGAGAAAGAAGGGCTGCTTATGCACAGGGAGACAGCTCAGGGGGCAGGAGTGAAGGGAGGGATGGACACAGGGAAGAGGTAACTATGGGGAAGAAGTGGGAGGGGAGCTGTTACAATGTGGTAAACTGTGGTCAATGTCATGAGACAAAGCATATGTGAACCACTGTATGGAAAGTGAATTTGCTCTGTAAACCTTCACCCAAATCACAATTTTAATATATATATGTGTGTGTGTGTGTGTGTGTGTATATATATATGTATGTATGTATATATATAGATAGATATAGATATAGATACACACACATATGTACATATATATACACACATATACCCCTGTTTAATTGGAAAAATTACTGTTGTAAAAGAAAATTAGAAAAGAATCATTTCTATTTTGAAGGACATTTTTCCATTAAAATTATTTGCAGATGAGCTATATGCAGGTCTATTCCTAGCTTTTAACCAAAAAAGAGGGGGCCTGAGGTCTTAGAAAAGGAACGTTGGTGGTGCAGTGGTTAAGGCATTCATCTGCTGATCAAAAGGTCCATATTTTGAACCCACCAGCCATTCTGCAGGAGAAAAGTGAGGCAGTCTGCTTTCATAAGAATTTACTGCCTTAGGAACAGTTCTGCTGTGTCCTATAGAGTCACTATGAGTTGGGATTGACTCAATGGCAGTGGGTTTGGTTTGCGTTAGAGATCTTACAAAGGAACCCTGGTAGTGCAGTGATTAAGCACTCATCTGATAACAGAAAGTCAGTCATTTGAGCCCACCAGCCACTCTGGACAAAGATGTGACAGTCTGATTCCATAAATATTTCAGCCTTCAAAACCCTATGTTCTGGTTACCTAGTGCTGCTCTGACAAGAATATACCACAAATGGGATGGCCTTAACAAACAGGAGTTTATTCTTAAAATTTGGAGGCTTTAAGTCACAGTTCAAAGTGCCAAGCTCTAGGGGCTGGGTAAAAGCCCCTCAACCTTGGGGTTCAGCTCTGCGTCTTACTCCTGGGCCACTAGAGCTAGAGGTGTTTCTTCAGTCAGACAGCTGCTGGCTGCTGAGGCTGAGAAGCCCCTAGGTTGACAAGTAAAATGATACAGTCCCAATGTTACCAAACCACATGGCAGGCCATTAACTTCAGTCCGTTTTAAGTCCCAAGGTCGGAAGAACATAGCAGGCTGCTGAGCAATGACATGGCTACATGCAGGATCCAAGCATGCCGTAGGCTAGAGACCATTCCCAAGGCTTCTCCTTATATACAGAAGCAGATCACATTCCAAAGGCATCTACTCATTTGCTTGTGGTAGATCCCATCATGGAGTTGATTGTCAGTCGCATCATGGGGAATAACTACTACCAGCTGCCCAGCCACTCAACCAGGCCCAGCCAAGTTGACACACAAACTTAACTACCACACCCTATGAGGCGGGACTTCTGGTAAAATGACAGAATAGGCAGATAAGCTAAACAGACCCTCTTCAAAGAACAAAGAAAAGAGAAACCAGTTGACAGAGATACAGAAGATAATCCTGGAGCCCTGAGGTTTGAAAGAAAGTATACAGAAGTGGATTGGGCACCAACTAATGGAAAAACCTGAACAAAAACAGTCAGTACAGTTGGAGTTGCAGACTGTCAGCTATTCTGATGGAACCAACAGCCTGAATATATCCAAGTGGTGCTGTTACCTGAGAATTGACCTAAAGATCAGCCCTGGTCACGAGGGGCTGCAGGGACAACTCTTCTGGTGGTCTGTGACTAGGGAGGGAAACTGCAAAGAAGGAGACAACTTGAGCTTGGACTTTTCGGCTGTCCAGAGAGTACAGCCACTTTGATTGTTTACAAGTGGTGGCCATTTTGGGTATTTAAAGTGACCCAGGATGCAAACATTTTGAATGTTTATAAGTGGCAGCCATATTGGATTTTAAAGTGACAGCATTCTCTTTCAGATACCAGAGACCTAAGAATAGGCTCTATTTGTTAAGGGTGGCAGGAACATATGGGAGGCTGACAGTGGGAAAGGAGAGATGTGGTGAGTATGTAAGTGCTGCCAACTAGTGAATAGAGGAGCATAGTACCCTGCTTATGTAGATAACATCCAAAGAAAATGAAAATCTTGGGCAAATCAGTCCAACACACTATCACCAATTAAATATAAACACAAAAACATCACAATGCCTCGGAGACAACAGAGCATCACAGTCCACACAAAGAAGTTAGATAAAGCAGGAGAAACAAGGGACCAAAGCACATCCCTGAGGAAGAAGCAACATTGGAACTCCCTGATAAGGAATTCAGAAGAATTATATTTAGGTACCCTTCAATGAATTGAGAGACAGATCAAGGAAAACACTGACAAAATTGAGGAATGCACAGAGAAACCCCTAAAACAGTTTCAAAAAATGATACAAGAACAAAATGACAAAATAAGTGAAAAATTAGAAATGATACAAAATCTACAGATAGAAACCCAGAAAAGTAATACTAAATTTTCAGAAATAGATAATGCATTGAAAAGGCAAAGGAGTAGAATTGAATCAATGGAAGACAGAATTATTGAGATTGAAGACAAATACTTGAATACTTCTCTGGAAAGAGATCAATCAGAAAAATGATGAAAGCAAAATGAAGAAAGCCTAAGGTCCATGTGGGATACTGTCCAAAGGAATAACCTACATGTAATCGGAATTCCAGAACAAGAAGAGAAAAATAACACCACTTGGAAAATTGTTGAAGATTTGTTGGAAGAGAATTTCCCTGGTATGATGAAAGATGAAAATATATCCATTCAAGAAGTCCAACGAACACAAAACAGTTTAGACCCCGAAAGAAAATCACCAAGATATATCATCATGAAACTCACCAAAACCGAAGACAAAGAAAGAATCCGGAAAGCAGCATGGGAAAAACAAAAAGTTACCTACAAGGGGCAAGCAATAAGACTAAGCTCAGATTTCTCAGCAGAAACCATGTAGGTGAGAAGACAATGGGATGGTATATACAGAACCCTGAAAGAGAGAAATTTCCAACCAAGAATTATATACTGAGCAAAATTGTCCCTCAAATATGATGGTAAAATTAGGAGATTTCCAGATAAGCGGAAATTAAGGGAATCTGTTAAAACCAGACCAACCTTACAAGAGACACTAAAGGGAGTCCTTTGGACAGAGAACCAGCAATGGCAAACAACAACTGACGATTAACACACATGATGACATAACCCAGAAACCAACCCAGCTATGGAAGTATACAAAATAAATAAACCTACAGGATGTAAACAGGAAACCAGAGACATCAATTGACAGATGAGGACAACTACAAACCAAAAAGGGAAAAAATCATATAGTTACCCAACTAAATGGTAGGGAAGTCAAGACCACTTCAAGATAAATGGACTGTTCTAAACTTGGGAAGAAAACTATAAATCACAGGGTAACCTCAAAGAAAAATGATAAACCTTCACATCAAAATGAAAAAGAGGACCAGCACAAATGTTTGTGGTGGTTATGTGCCATCGAGTCAGACCCGACTCATAGCGACCCCTCCTTGGGTTTCGAAGTGGTATCACTACGGAAGTAGATTGCCCAACCTTCCTTCCCAGGAATGGCTGGTGGGTTTGAACTGCAGCCTTCTGGTTAGCAGTCAAGTGCCTTAGGCACTACACTACGAGAGCTCCTGCACAAATATTTAGCAAATACTAAAACAATAGCAATGAAGGAAGTGATAACACGTTTCTTAAACAAAATGAGCTCAGTACAGAAAAT